CAGCGTTTGGCTTCACCCGGAGTCGGAAAATGAACTCACGTGAAACGCAAGCGGCAGCCCCTTTGCAGAACTGCACACAGCTTAACACAAGGGTAAAGGACGCAACGTACAACAAAGTCAAAACTGAAGCAAGGCAGATGCCTCCAGCAGCATGGCTGGCTCCTGTCAGCTAAAGAGCAAACCCCCTTCTTTTCCACCCATCACGAATGGCTTCACCCGGAGTCGGAAAATGAACTCACGTGAAACGCAAGCGGCAGCCCCTTTGCAGAACTGCACACAGCTTAACACAAGGGTAAAGGACGCAACGTACAACAAAGTCAAAACTGAAGCAAGGCAGATGCCTCCAGCAGCATGGCTGGCTCCTGTCAGCTAAAGAGCAAACCCCCTTCTTTTCCACCCATCACGAACATGCTCTGGGCAGGTCCACTTCCCAAGCCTGCAAGCAAGTGCCTTCCCCTTGGGCTCCCTACTGGGCAGCGCTGCGCGGGAACCTGGGCGGTCAGGAATAGCGTTTCTTCACAGTTCCCACACTGTGAGCAAAAGCACAATGCTGGGTTACTGCTGAAAGCAGCGAGACAATGCATACAGAAGAGCCCCGTTGGTCACTGGCCAGTGGGGCGCTTCTGAACTCAGCAAAACAAGGACACCAGTCAACTCAATGAGCAAAACCAAATCAAAACCAAATTCCAGGCTCCCAGAGAAACACTACCAATTAGACACAAAGGCAAGTCTGCTGCCTGGAGACAGCGCGCTTTGCATGCTCCCTCTCCCCCGGCCTGGATGGCAGATGCTCGGCTGCGGAGTTCTGGGCTCGTCACATGAGGATTTCCATGCAGGATACTCGGCTGTAACCAAAACCTATGCTCACTGGGATTTCAGCGGCACTGGTTAATTTCACTTTGCTGTCCTTCACGGAATGCAGAATCCCCCCCGAGCAATGAACCCCCAAAATGAAACATTCTGCAAAATTCTCCCTATTTCAGTTCCTAAAATAGCACAGTTGCGTTGGTTTCAGTTATTCTGGTAATTTATTTAAACGACATGCAATGGGCAGAGAATGGGTCTGGGGACACTGGAGGCAACCCCCAATTCCCTGTGACTAACTGTAACACAGCAAATATGGACCTTTCCTGGTAGGTATTAGTCACAATTCTCTGCAGCCATGCCTGTGATGTGACCCTGAGCGCAACGAAGAGCAAACGTTGGGCCCTCAAACGCACAATCTATGCTGACGCTGACTGTCTCCAGGATGGTCAGTAGCTAACAGCTCAGGGACCACACTGAATTCTTTTCAGTCCAACAATCAGACCAGACCTAATCACTAAAGTACCCAAAGCATCTCTCAGGCCACACTGTCCTTTACAGTAAGGCTCCTTTACAAACATAAAGCAGCCTTAACATTTTTACACCCATTTTATGCTCCTGGGGGAATTCACTAAGAACAGTGGGAACAATTCATCAAGCAGGCAGGCTGCTACATTCTGCTCTGCCTGTGGGGACAGAGCCTACACTACACCTACTTCCTCAAAAACAACCCAGGCACAGTGTGTGTCTGACACACATGACTGCCCTGCCCCTGCTCTGACAATGATTTTACGTCTCTGCCAGCTGCTCTGGGCACTCAAACCAATCTGCCTGCACTGCTGGGGAGGGACTCATGACCGCTCTCGTGGCTTCCCTTTGCTTCCCCATCCGAAGTTGTTTTTCTGCGGGAAAGCAAAGAAATCTGTGAGGGGCATGAATTCTGCACACATGCAGGGACACAAAATTCCCCCAGGAGAAGCTGGTGCAATGCTGCTGCTGTACAACAACTGACCTCAGCTTGGAGATACAGGACACTCAGCACTTCTGAAAAAATTCATTGATAACGCGCCAAGGTGGGAACCAAAAGAAAAAAAAAATCACAGGCCACCTTTTGAAGAAATGGGTCAAAGTAGCCGGCTCAAGTTCCTGCAGTGAGTCAGTAGAATTGCCAGCAACAGAACCCAGGAGTTCTTGTTTCCAGCACTCTGATCTAGGATTCAAGTCTAACGAAGCAAAGAATAAGCATAGCCTGAGGCTGTGTCTACACTGGGCCACTTATTCTGGAAAATCAGCCGCTTTTCCGGAATAAGCTGCGAGCTGTCTACACTGGCCCCTTGAATTTCCGGAAAAGCACTGCCGATTTACTGTATGAAATAAGTTGCTTTTCTGGAAAAACTATGCTGCTCCCGCTCGGGCAAAAGTCCTTTTTCCGGAAAACTGTTCCAGAAAAAGGCCAGTGTAGACAGCACAGTAGTCTTTTCTGGAAAAAAGCCCCAATCGCGAAAATGACGATCGGGGCTTTTTTCTGGAAAAGCGCGTCTATATTGGCCACGGACACTTTTCCGGAAAAAGGGCTTTTCCAGAAAAGCATCCTGCCAATGTAGACGCTCTTTTTCCGGAAATACTTATAACGGAAAACTGTTCCGTTTTAAGCATTTCCGGAAATTCATGCCAGTGTAGACATAGCCTGAACGTATTATAACCATCTTGTAACACCTTCCCATTGTAATCCTGTTTGAACAGCAGTTAAAACTCTGGAGGGAAAATATTAACTCTGACTCCGCTTACCTGCCAATTAAGGCCTACACAAAGCTGGTTAAAAGTTATCAAAATCATCTTGCCCCACAGCAGCGTCATGTTTCAATACCTGAGTGTGAAGCTTTATATTTATTCTCCCTGGAAGTTGGACTCATGTGCACTGACCCCCTAAAAGCTTTGGATGCAAGCCCAAGCAAGGATCTCCCCTAAACAGAGCCAGAGCGGCAGGGGCTGGAATCCTTCAGGCATTTGAGGGGAGATCATGGCCCACGCCCCAGGCCCAGGCTCGGAGACCATGGGTCATTCCATAAACCTGATCAAAACTTCACATCCACAGTGCTCTCCACTGGGCTAGGCCTTTCACTACAGGCAGCTGAAAGCCACCTGCATTCCATTCTTTAGTCTCCTGTGATACAGCTGCAGAGGAGTTTACACTAGAGAGGGGAGAGAAAGGGCCTTAGCAGTACATACAAATATGGCTTCCTGTAGCATGTTGTTCCCACGGCCTCAGGAACGCGGTCTTCAAAACTCCAGCTCTCTCAGGAGAAGATGAGCCATGGCAAACTTCTGAAAGAGACAGAGGGAATTTATATAAACTAAAGCGGGGGTGGGGAACCTAAGGCCCGGATGCAGCCCCCGGCTTGCCTGGATCTGGCCCCAAGGGTTGGAACTCCCCTCTAGCATTAGGAAGACTGTGCTAGCGCTCCAGCCCCCCGGCCACTTCTCCTGTGGGGCTGGAGCACACAAAATCTACTAGCCTGGGCCCCCAGGCTCTCGTGTGCGAGGGGCATGTGGGGAGTGTCACCCTCCTTCTCAGTCGGACCAGGGTTTTCTTCTTTTTCCTTCTCACTTGTGTGCGGCCCCCGACCGATTTTTTTCTGTGGTCAGCAGCCCCCAACCCAAAAAAGGTTCCCCGCCCGGGAACTAAAGGCTAAAAGATTTAGGGCCTGGTCGTGCATGATACGCTGAGGATTGGACCAGGAATGCTATGGTGGCGCTACTTTCAGAAGTAGCCTCATTGTTTGCAAAGGGTGTGAGCAAGTTTGAGGTGTAGCTCAGGAAAGCTCACGCTCTAATACCCTAGTAAATGTATTCATCTTTCAAGTGCCACGAGACTCCCTGGTTTTGCTGAAACAGGCTCCCACAGCGACCTCGCTCTACTGAAGGAAGCACATCGCAGGCTCTGCTCCCTGCTACGGCGTTACTGCCAACAGGACCACTTGGAGCTTCGCAAGGAGCACAGACATTCACCCAGAGCTCTCCACAGCCTGCCCTCCGTTCCGAGCCATTCGAGCCTCCATGTCACACTGAGAGTGGCCCAGCGTCCCCTGAGCAAAGGTGCGAGCTGGGACACGGAGGCCTGCCGCCCAGGGGGTGTACACAAGGACAGAGTGAGAGGAACGTGCGCTGGTTCCAGAGCAGGGATGTGAATGTTTAACTGGTTAACTGTGGGGGGGAGGGGGCCACACCATGGGCAGGGGGCTGCTCCACCACTGCAGATAGGGGTACTCTGGTCCAGCTGAAGTTACCTTCTCCCCGCCCTCCCCTTTCATTGGTTAACCAGTTTCAAAATATGTTTAACTAGTTAACCAATTAAACGGGATTTTACATTCCTGTTGCAAGCACCCTTGCGCCCTGTACCAGACACTCCACGAAGACCTGAAACTAGACCGACTGGCGCAGCAGAGAGGAGTTAAGGGGGCTGCCTTGCCTGTTCTCGAGAGTGGACTAGGGTTCCTATCAGAGGTAGGAAACCCATTAGGAGGCAGAATAGTGATAGAAATGTAGCTGTGTTAGTCTGGGGTAGTTGAAGCAAAATGCAGGACAATGTAGCACTTTAAAGACTAACAAGATGGTTTATTAGATGATGAGCTTTCGTGGGCCAGACCCACTTCCTCAGATCAAAAGATCAAAAGATCATTAGGAGGCAATGTGCTTAACTGCAGCCTGAAAGGTATTCACCAGAGGGCGAGGCCTGACGATCTGTTAATGATTACGGATAAACAAGTCCCATTTTCAACTCTATTTCCTCATAATTACTGACTCCCACATCTTGGTTCACAGCACAGCAGCTAGGAGGAAAGGCAAGTGCTAGATTCCAAGGTGAAACACACACTCCTCTATATACAGCTGAGAGATCAGCTGCAATCAACCAGCTCTGTAGCTGAACCCCTAGAAATAAGAACTGCAACTGCCTACGAGATTTCAGTGTCTCAGGAGCGCAACAGCATTTTTACATGCGCCGTATTTTAAACTTTTTTAGTTAAACACTGACTTGCCATCTGAAAAGGTGATTTTTTTAGCAGGGCTTCTGATTTAAGAACTACATCACGTGCCACCCCAGAAGCACCTTAGGAAATAAAAACATGCAGAGATTTACAATGCCAAGTACCTTTTTCAAGAAATATTCAAGACCAGAACTAGTCGGCCTAACTTATTATTGCCACTAAAGCCTCCCTATCAACTAATCGATTCATCAATTACACAGTTGCCACTAAAGCCTCCACAACCATAGTCTGGACCAGGAAACAACCTTCTTTAATGGCTATATTTATTCTAAAAAGGCATCAATGTTGGTCAAGGCAACACTGCTGTGTGCCTATGAAATGCACAACCCGTTTCAGATACTCTTTCTGCCATTTAGACTGTCAGAACAGCGTAATCCTACACAAACCTTTCAGAGAGCCAGGAGTCAGGAATTCTTTAATACAAGTGAAAGCAAATTCAATGTACCCAGATTTCATGCTTCAGATGAAACATGAATGGTGGAGGAATACTTTGGGAGACCCCAGCTACCAGGTGTTCCCACAGTTTCCATCATGCATAAAGAAAAAAACCATTAGTCAAATATCAATCACTTATAAGATTAACTGATGTAAAGGGCCAAATGGACGAGAGCTGACTAGAAAAGAGGGTAATAGAAATGTAGCCATGTTAGTCTGGTGTAGCTGAAGCAAAATGCAGGACTATGTAGCACTTTAAAGACTTTAAAGAAAAGAGGGGAAACCCAATAGGCCTCTCTGTAATGACCCTGGCACACCTGAATGGTATTCTGCAGGCACATGACCTGCCACAAAAACAGCAGCAAATGAAACCTAGAATTGGCAGCATCTTTATTTCAAAGCAGCTCTATTAGATAAGCACATCCCTGCAATCAAACCTGAGATTCAGGAGAACTTTTGCCCCTATTGTCTGCCTCTAGACTTTTATTGTGCCTTATACTAAGCAGAGCGGCATTGACATTAATTGATAAAAAGCAAAATCTAAACACGCAAGTGGAGGAAAAGGTGCAATGAAAATATTCTCTCATTACAGGCAGAAAGAGGTGACTATTCATTCCACCCGTGACCGTTTGCTGGCTCTGTTAGATAAATTATAAATTAATGGGGATTGCCTATCTCCTAGAACTGGAAGGGACCTTGAAAGGTCATCAAGTCCAGCCCCCTGCCTTCACAGCAGGACCAAGTACCATCCCTGACAAATTTTTGCCCCATCTCCCTAAATGGCCTCCATAAGGATTGAACTCACAACCCTGGGTTTAGCAGGCCAATGCTCAAACCACTGAGCTATCCCTCCCTCCTAAGACTAAGACTTTTTCTACACTACCAATTTTTTCGCCAATTTTGTCTTTTGGCACCAAAACAGTGAAGGCATACACACTGTGATGAAACTGGACACTTCTCCCAAAAATCTCAGCAATGAACTCCTTCCACCCCTACGGGACACATTTGTTTTTTCCCATTTCTTTATTATCAAAGAGTCAGTGTAGACACCACACCTGCTTACCTCACTTTATATAGGCTCCAGGAAGGGCCCCACAAAGCCCATCCAGACTAGGGATGTTAAGGATGAGTTAACTATCCGACAAACAAATGCTTATTCGATAGCTGACAGGATAGTCGGCTCTATCAGATGGAGGCAGCAAGGGAGAAGAGGGAGAGGACTTCAAAGCGGCAGCGCCACATGGAGCCTGGGGTCAGCTGCTCCGTGCGGTGCTGCCGCTTTTAATTCTGTGGACAACATTTCAAAGCGGCAGTGCCGCTTGGAGCCCAAGATCAGCTGGGGACTCCCCAGCTGACCCCGGCCTCTGTGTGGCGCTACTGGTTTGAAACGCTGCAGTGGCGTTTCAAAGGGGCAGCACCACCCTATCGACTAATCGATTAGTCAATTACACAATACTTAACATCCTTAATCCAGACCGCTCTGGTGAGCGGTTTGAACTCCACTGCTCTGCAGCCAAGTAAACAAGCCACCCTTTCCCTTGCAAGCCCCAGGAATGTTAAATTCCACTTCCTGCTTGCTGGCTCCCCATGGCGAGGGCTCATGGAGTCTTCCCAGGTGGCCTTGGCTGGCTATCACACCAAGCCTGGGCCACCACAGAGCTGTTGGGTCTGATCAGTGGATGGGGAGAGGTGCCTGTTCCGTCCCAGCTGTGCTTGGCCCATACAAACTGGAATAGGACACATGGATACATTTCTCAAGGCTGGTGCAAAAAGGACTATCATTGGGACATGCTGCGGTGCAGAGCGATAAGGGAGCTGAGGCAGTTGTACCACCAGGGAGGGAAGCAAAACGGTGCTCTGGTTTCTGTAAGGAGCTGGATGCTATCCCTGGTAGCAACCCCCCTCCCTCCGCTGCCAAGAGCCCTGTAGATATTTTGGGATAGTCCCCTTTTGTACCCTTGCAAGGACACAGTTCTTGAGGAAAGGTGGCGTTAGGAGGATGTGGAGCTCCCGAGGGGATTGCCTGATGCAGCCTGGAGCGGTCGGCCTTTCCTGAGGTGCCCAGCCAGCCTCAGCAGCTGCTCTCTGGGGAGCAGAGGAGACAGAGGATACGCTGCTGTGGTCTGCGTCGTGCAGAGGTGGGTTTAGGGCCCAGAGCAGTGGGAGGCTGGCTGGGTTTCCGTGAGCTGGACATTGCCCTGGATAGCTAGTCGGTACGGAGGGGCAGGGCACTGGAAGGGTCCCAGGAGAGCTCTAGGAAAGTTTCCTCGAGGGACTTGCTGCAGGTTCCGCAGCTGTGTCCCTTCCCCCACTGTAGGGCACTGTCCGCGATCACTTGTGCAGGGACCACAGCGGCACACGTGAGAGCTGCCTGGAGAGCAGGGCAAAGCGACAAGCCTGCAGCACTTGCACCGTTTCCCGCCTCACCCTCAGCACCGAGAGGTCTGCCTGCTTGTCTCACGCCCAGGGCAGTGAACTGCTGCTCTCCTTTTGTCAGGGGTCTGACCTCAACCATCTCATGGGCGCTGCTGCCCAGGCTGCCACCCACGTCTACGTCCCCCACCAGTTCTGCCCTTGGTGAGCAGCAGGTCAAGAGGAGCATGGCCCCTTGCTGGTTCCTCCAGCACTTGCTCCAGGAAGTTGTTCCCAACGCTCTCCGAAAGCTTCCTGGATTGCCTGTGCCCAGCTGCACTGCTCTTCCAGCAGACATCAGAGTCAAGTCCCCCCAGGAGAATTCCGGCCTCTCCTGGAAACTTGTTCCTTGTCCAAAGGAAGCCTTGTCTACCTCGTTCTCCTGGTCCGAGTGTCTGCAGGAGATCCCCGCCGCGGCATCACCCTTGCTGC